GAAGAACAAATGGACAAAAATTTAGCCAAATGAAAAGAATTGATTGAAAATTGAATTAAGGGCTGAGATTTACCTAAATTAAGGGTGGAGATGAGCTCAACAAGTCCACAAAATTTTCCTATAAATAGAAGTGCTGGAAAATTAAAAAGGGAGGAAAAATTGAAAAACACAAAGAAAACTCTTGTAAAATTTCTACTAAAAAGCTACCCAAAATAATTCTAACCAAAAAACACGTTGTATAAAACAAAAAACTAAATTCAATTTGGAAAGCGATATCGTAACAATTAAAAATTGGATTTTTTTTTCTTTTTTGAAAATGACGAGCCTAAATCCATGAAAAATGCATTTCAACACTCGTAGGGTGAACAAAGAGAGGGGAAAAAACATAAATTTAGAAGATCAATAAACAAAAAATAAATAAATAAAAGGATAAATAAAACAATGTGAGAATGTAATAATCAATACCCGCTGAAACTGAAATTAAATAAAAAATTTAATATTAAACACAAGGGAAACATATTTTAAGTATGTGAAATAATCATTAGGAACTTCAATGAATATATATAATAGTTAAAATAGTTTTTCTATGCCTAAGAGATATTTTTATTGATTTTACGATGCATGAATAATTAATTAAAGCATGTCGTTTATGAATAAAAAATAGTTTGTGTGCTTAGAATAATTGTTAGAGGGGTGTTCAATTATTTTATGTGCTTTTGTGAATATTTTATGCATTATGAATATTTTATTTGAATTTTTATGTTTTGAAATAGTGTTTTTAGAGGTAAAGAATTTACTTAAGCACCTTAAGTGTATGAGGAATTTTTTTAGAGCATAGAATAATCATATAGGATGCGTGAGAGTGTCTAGAAAATTTAAATTAATTTTATTAAGTATGGGGAATATTTTTAATAGGAAATAATGTAATTTTCACACTAAATAATTAATTTAGAGGCTCAAATGAGGTTAAAAAATTATGAAAATTTAAAATAAACTCCCTTAATAAATATTTGAATTTATTATGGAAATAAATTAGATTTTGAAGAGCATGGGATGAAACTTCAAAAGTATGGACTAAATTGTATAAAATTAGGGACTCAATTGCTTAAAATTAAAAATCTAATAATCCAAATTAAATTATTTAAGAATTTTAAGGGTCAAAATTCAGTCCTAAATACTGAAAATAAAGGGTTAGAAATGATTATTTGAATAAAAGGAGGATTTAGGAAAGAATAAGTCCTAGAAGACTCTAGAAACTTAGAGGACCAAAATTTGTCATTTTCCTCCCACCTTTGGCCGACCTAAAGCATTAATTAAGTCTGACTTACAGTAAATTTTATGGCTAGAATTAAGCTAAATGGAAGGCTTAAACAAAAAGAAGAACAAATGGAAACAAAAAGAAGAACAAATGGCCAAAAATTTAGCCAAATGATAAGAATTGATTGGAAATTGAATTAAGGGTTGAGACTTACCCAAATTAAGGGTGGAGATGAGCTCAACAAGTCCACAAAATTTTCCTATAAATAGAGGTGCTGGAAAAATTAAAAAGGGAAGGAAAATTGAAAAACACAAAGAAAACTCTTGCAAAATTTCTAATAAAAAGTTACCCAAAATAATTCTAACCAATTTTAGACCCTCCAAATCATTGGATTAAGCTTCAATTTCAAGTTGGAGGTCGAACACCTTCAAGGAGAAAATTAAAAGAGCTAATTCAAATTTAGGAGGAGAAAGAGGAGGAAGAGAATTTTCAAGCAACCTACCTTTTCAAAGTTAATTTAGAGCTTAATCAAGTAAGTTAATCTCACCTACACTACAAGAATATTTAATTTCAAGTCAATTTCATGTTTAATTATTTGAATTTGCCTTAATTGCTAAATTAGAGAAAAAAATTAAGATTAGGGTTCTTGGTGACCCAAATTTGAGGGAAATTATTTTTAACTCATAATTCATGTAATTAAGATGCAAACAAGTTAATTGGGCTTGAAACGTTTGGTGAAAACTAAAAAATTCCTAAGGTTAATTAAGGGTAACCATTCGGCCTAAACTAAAGAAATTTAAGATTGGATCCAAGCAATCATATTCTGTTTTGGTGAGTCATATACACTTAAATAAGCATATTTTGATGAGTTGAAGTGAAAAATTGTGTCAAAAGTTGAAGAAAATGGGTTTTATGGGCTTGGGCCCAATTTCGGCCCATTAAGGCCCAACACGGGTTTGGACAATATTTTGGATTTCAAATTTCAATTAAATTAATTCCTATATTTTTTTTTACATATATAGGTTACTTAGTGTTAAAATGGTGGGACAAAACGAGGAGAAAATGTTAGGATTCTAAAGAGGTCAAGTTTAGGCCTAAATGAGAATTTTGAGGAATTAGGTTTAAACTAAGTTTTAAACCTTAAATTTGATGATTCAGACTCAAAACACAGTAAAAGGATGGTTTAGGATGAAAAGGACTCATAAAAATTTAAAGAAAAATTGGATTAGGAAAAATTGGGCCTTAGGCCCATTAAGGCCTAAACCGAAATTGAACCTTCTAAATCAACGAAATAATACCTAGTTAGATTAGAACATGAAATGATACTTAATACCTAGTTAGATTAGAACATGAAATGATACTTAATTTTGTAAAAAAAAATATGAAAAGATAATTAAGAACCTAAGGAAAAGAATTTAGGAAGGTAAAGTGAAAGGTAAATTTAATGAACAAAGAAATGAAACAAAAATGTTCATCTTCCTTTATGTTATGGTTATGTTCTTTCAAATGCTATATGAATGCATTAGGCTATGAATAATTTTTATGCTTGAATGTGATTGATGATGAGAATTGGGTTATGATGATTGATGTATCAATGATGGCGGTGTTGGTTGATATTGGATTGATGTTATCTATGATGTCATACTCGTTCAATTTTATATCGATTCTTATGAATTGCTTACATAACCATTCAAAGCATTAATAAATTCATACAGACTTGCTAGTTCGAGTGCAATTGCATACGCATGCTTAGCTTATGAATAATGTTTTAAGTCATGAAAATATATTTTATGTCATGGTTATCCGATAGCAATTAGAATGATTTTAAAGGAAAAGATTTCCATGACTTTGAGGTTTTGAGGAAAGAACTTCATGGGTTTTCCATATAGTAATGGTAATGGTTTAGGGCTAGGCAAGTGCGGACGTGCACTTTTAGAGGCTCGGGAGGGCGAGTCCGTAGACGTATCCGGTTCGCCGGACATATGTTATGGAAACCCCGAAGTACCTAAATGGGATATATCCAAAGACAGAAAAAGAATTTTTAGACTCGTTTATAACATGTTTTATGACATGAGAAAAAAGATTTATTATGTATATATCGGTATTTTATACATGCACATGCACTACATGCGTAGGTTAACATATTGAGTTGTTACTCATGTATATGTTTGTGGTGTAGCTATCCTAGATAAAAAATGGTGTTCATAACCTTTGAGTCGACTATCGAAGAGGGCATTCGTCATGTGTATATTGATTGTAGTTGGCGTATGGACTCGATATATATAGTAACTCTTGTTGTACCGGGTATTTTAGTTTATTTTATAGCTATGGTGTGTGTTTTCTTATACGCTCTTTAAAGGTATGATACAATAGATTAAATGGGAAAGGAAACCATATGTAAATAGGAAATAAGTCATTTTTTTAGTAGGTGGCAATGAACTGATAACCTAGTTTTTTTGTGTAAATATTTGTGTGTATGTAAGTAAAGTATCATTAATGAACTCGCTAGCATAGTAAGAGTTTACACTAATTATCGACACGTAAATTAGTATAACTAAATGAAGAAATGAATTTAAGAAAAAAAGAATATCATCAATTTGGATAGTTCGATTTACGTAATATAAATAGAATTGTGAAATGTGAAAAATTTTATAGGACATTTGGGACTAGACATAAGACCTAACCGTAATTAGTAAAGTTTAACAACGTAGGTGTACCATCTAGATCTATAGATAAGTCACGGTGCCTTGGTAACTTATGTTCATTGTACTCCGAACGTAAGTTGTCGACGATAATATTCTCGACTTATTAGGTCATAGATTAGGGGTGTTATAGAGAAAAAGGAGTTTTTTTCCCAAACTAATAAACTTTTAAATCTTTATTCCTTAATTATGGTACTTTTAAACTTATTTCTCAAGTAAAGATTTTTTTTTCCACATAAGATTTTTTTCATTCACATCATTTTTTTCTTAATTGTTGAAAAACAATATCATTATATTAAATAACTTCATTTTTATTTTAGGTATTTTATTAATTAAAAAACATAAAATTACTAAGAACTCTCTTCTTAAAAGAAAAAAATAAAAAAAGTTAATCTTTTTAGGTTTAGGAGTTGCCGCCGGCCGGATGATATCGTCACAAATCTTGAAACATCTTTTTGTATGCCTAGTCTTTGCATATCGGATGACTAATTAAAAAATTACATACTTTATGAATTAAAGCTTCTCTTCACTTCAGTAGTTATTAAATTTTTAATTTCTTATTACGAAAAAAAACTCTTGCCCAAAGTATCTTTTTTTGTCTTGTATATATCTAGTTTTATAGCAGAGCTAGTGATGATTTTGTTAATAGAGTAGGATGGGAAACGAAGTTGGTGAAGGAGGCCTATGAATGGATAGAGTCAGGAATTGTTTTTAAATCCGATGAGTAGACAAAATATAAATTTGCTATCAAATTTGGCTTTCTTGAAGCAGAAATCCTTCCTTATAATGGATTCAGCTGGGAACACAGAGAAGGAGTGAAGATTAAAGGGTCTCAATTTGATCACTATGGAAAAAGGCACGCAACAACTAATCTTTTACAGAGAGGGAACCCAGAAATCTCTTTAGATGTTGATTTTAGCAAATCCTAAAAGCTATACCTGAAAATACAAAAACTTCATTGATGTCTTGTCAAGATTACTTGGACGATCAATCTCCTAATGCTAGTAATTAGTTCTATTTAAATAATACAATTAAAAGTAATGAGAGCACAGTTCATGGTATTTGGTTCATCAAGAGTGTTGGCAGTATATATCAATCAAAATTATAAAGCTTGCCTCAGCAAACCTATGAATTCCGCTCAACAAGATGAAGATATTTTGTCAGAAAAAGCATCAGGTTGTCCCCAAATCCTAATGTTAAACGAGGTCCAAAAAGTCATCTTAAGAACTTTGGTATCCCACTTGTGTTAGACTTTGAAGGGGTTGGATAGGAAATGCAATGCAATCGACGCACAGACATAAGCATGAACAATGTATCTTTTGAATATTTCACAAAGTCACGGGCGTAGCAGAAGACTTCAAATTCATATTTAAGGGACCAATCATACCTAGTAGCTTCAATGCCTCAACTATGGTAATCGCAAGCAAGATTGCAACCCCAAAATCAAAAGGAAAATTGGAATTGAACAATACAGACCCTAGGAAAAACCCTTGAGTGGAATTCAATTATCCAGGAAAGGAAAGTGAATTGGAGGAATGTATCGAGATGGCTCCATTGCTTGAGAAAATAGCAAGGTCAAAGTCCATCACTCAGTTCACAGGGGTTGAACCCCAAAATTATTCAATGTCCAGTCCTCATGGTTAAGAAAGTTTTGTAAGAAGAATGTGAACACCTTTACCACAATCATGGTTGCACTGTTGTATTAGTTGTTGACAAAGATTACAAAGCCTATGGGATAAAAGGATTGAGAGTCATAAATGGCTTAACATTTTTGGAATCACCAGGTACAAACCCAGCTCCTGCTGTCTTAATTATGGGACATCATCAAGGGATCAAAATCCTCAAGGAAAGGGAGAGCGTTTCTGTATTTAGTACCCAACTACACCCATAAACAAATTCTCAACTTCAACTGTAGTATAAATATCACCATCTAAGACTATTAAACAATTCCATGCGGCAATCGTATTCTTCCATGTGATTGAATAACTCTTTGTCTCCATTTTACCCAATCTAAGCAAGTTTGTTCATTGGAAAAGAGAGAGAGAGAGAGAGCAAGAAACCACCATAGCTTCACAGCCATCGAGAGATTAATATTTGAGTGCAGGATATGAGACAAAAAAAAAAAAAAAAAAGACGCTCTCAATCATGATCGGTGTTTATGATTAGCAAATTAAGTACCTGTTGAAACGAAGAGAAGCTTTAATTCATAAAATATGTAGTTTTTTAATTGTTCATCTTATATGCAAGGAGTAGGCATACAAACAGATGTTTTAAGATTTGTGACGATATCATCGGGCCAACGGCAGCTCCTAAACCTAAAAAGATTAACGTTTTTTTGTTTTTTCTTTTAAGAAGAGAGGTCTTAGTAATTTTATGTTTTTTAATTAATAAAATACCTAAAATAAAAATGAAGTTATTTAATATAATGATGTTATTTTTCAACAATTAAGAAAAAAATGATGTGGATGAAAAAAATCTTATTTGATAAAAAAAGTATTTATTTGAAAAATAAGTTTAAAAGTACCATAGTTAAGGAATAAAGATTTAAAAGTGCATTAGTTTGGAAAAAAACTCGAGAAAAACTCTGGAAGGGCAGAAACAGAGGCCTTTCTGTTTGTTTTCTTAGACTAGGCTTCTTTAGCCCAACTTACAGCAAAGTAACCCAGCCCATGTAAGATACCGGAGGTCGCTCTGGGCTCAGTCTAACAGCATTCTCGATCCCTACAGTTAATTACTTCTCACATATTGGGTCCCATTTTCTTAAATATTTTCAATCAGGTCCTTAAACGTTCGATTGTGAATCATGAACATTCATCCGCCCAACTTCGTCCAAATTTTAGTCCCAGAAACTCTGCACCCAATTTAATCACATTATGTTCAAAATTTCATACAGAATATCAGATCATTGGATCAAGTAAAAACCTTTCAAAACTAACACCCAACTTGGATGAACTCTAGAAAAGAAGGACGCATACTGATGAGTTTCGAAATCTCTTTTTTTTAAAAAAGGATGATTGTATGTCATGATGAACAGTGGAGATTGGTTTTTTTTTTTTTTTTTTTTTAACGTCAGACATATGAAAAATAAATTCCTATAGTGGATTGAAAGACTTTTAGACGATCTAATTAGTGATTAGGGAAGAGAAAATGACCTGATTAGGTTGTAGAAAAAGATATTTTTACGTGTTTTTTTTTAAATGGTGTAATTTGTTTAATGTAGAGAGAATTGTATAAAGAGTTAGGAACCTATACATTGTTTATGATTAAATTTTTTATATAGAGAAGATTGCGACAAGTTGCATTAATAAAATAAAAAAATAGTCTGTCTCTTCTTTGCCCACGACAAGCATTCGAGATCGAAGGGACTGCGCTATCCCCTAGGGCATTCGTCAATTCTTAAAGGAGGGAATGAACCATATATGTCCCTAAGCAAGGCATTTTTTGTAGCGTGTATGACCAAGTGTGTGGTCTGTGAGCCTCGTAACCTATAATATTTAAAATAGAAAATTTTAATTACTTATTTATAAATTCTCATTATGTATTTTTATTACTGACAAATATAACCTAATGATAAATAAATTGTTTTAGTTTGGTCAAAATCAAGATTCTGTTTTCATTATTCATAAATAGCTAGTTATAAGTATTTTTTAATGATATCAAGTTTGAGTTGGTTTGATATAAAATGCAATCTAATGTTAGACAAAAAATTAATAATGTTTTAGCATTGATTTAACTTGAAAATTGATAGACCTAGATTCGAATAATGCAAAAATTAATCTGATAATATTCCATTATTTATAAATTTTTAAAAAATAAATTACATCTGTAATGGACAGTAATTAAATGATTACTTATTATAAATATTGTATTAATTAGACAAAGTTTTAAACTTCTATAATTTATAGTTTTAAAATTTTCTAATTTTTACCATTGAATTTGTGAAAAAATCATTGAATTTGAATCTTATTTAATTTTATAAATGAGAAATAATATAAAACCATTGAATTTGAATTTTATAAAGTAAAAGAGGTTAATACATATTTTTCAAATTTCTATATTAAGCACACATGTTAAGCCAGAATTAGCCAAGTTCAGGGACCAAAAAAACCCCATATGGCTATCTGGGTTCCTATTTTGAACAAAACTTGATGTCTGTTCCGCGAAAGCTTTAAAGACAAAACTTGCCCTGTTGTAGAAGGACGAAGGCGGCAGCGAAGAAGCAACAGAGAGGGAGAGAGCATGAAGTTCTCAGTGAAAGCATGGAGAAAGAGCAAGGGCAAGAGCATGGAAAGGGCCGGGGTATTTCAGCTGGGAAACTGCCCTTCAATAGAAACGCCTGCTCTCCTCCTTTCTACACGTAAAGGGTTACCCCATTTTATTTCACCTGACCTCCTCCCTTCTCTTCCTCTCCCTGATTCTTCTCTCCTTCAAGTTAGCCCTCTTCACTTGTAAGTCTCTTAAACAAAGAAAAAAACCTTTTATTCTTTTCAATTCTTTTTCATAGTACTTGGGTGATGGTCAATAAGTAAAGTTTTGGCTTTTAGGTGGTAAGGTTAAAATCAATTGAAGTGCATCCAAGGTGTTTGTTGTTTTGACTGTGAAACTGTAGAAACAGTAGCAAGTTTACATGTACCTTGGTATTTATGGAAAACTACTAAAGTGCCACAATTATAAAGGAAAAGTGTACCTGCAAAGTGAAATACGATGAAAAGTTGTTGATAATTTGACATGCACGAAGCACAATTTGTGAGTCAAGTAATGGCGTAGATTTCATTTATTAATGTGAGATAAGATTAATGAAGTGGTCCATTGTCGTATCAAAATTTTGAGGCCGTAGGAGGGATGGAGTCATCATCAAGAACAAGAGAGTTAAATTGTTAATGTTTTTCTGTTCTTAACAAAGTAGAAACTGTGGAATATGTTGAAAGCATCTTAAGTGACAGTAAAATGATTTCATAAGGCTTGTTCGTTTTGTCTTGAGAGTTTATGAAGACTAAGTTTGTGTTCTAGTACAGTGGCTGTTTTAATTGTGAATTATCTCCGTTTATTTTGCAAGAGTTTTTTTTTTTTGGTCCCCGTTTTCAGCTCCTTCTCTTTCAAGTAAAAGCAACTAATGAAAAGCTGACGGTCTACTTTTAAAATCTCTATGGCAGAAATTTTGTGGTTTCATTTAGCTGACTGGTCGACGCTACATGTTTTCTTTCTGCAGCCTGGAAGGTATTTCATCAAAAACAATATCCTCCATTGGAGGACTACATAAAATGCTTGGGTTGAATGATTATGGACTTGTTGCTGTAGCAAGGGATTCCATTCAATGCCTGCCAGAAAGTAGTGCCACAAATAAACTTGGTGCTTCTTTCGAAACTCCTTGTGGTCGTGCTTTGGTAATTTGGCTTGCTCAATTCATTTTCATAAGATTCTGTTGGCCTTTTTTTCAAGTTCTTTTTCTGGATAATTTTCTTGCAGATTAAACCTACAGAATACATGGGAATGATTTCTTCTTTGAGGCCAAATCTTTGGGCCACTTTGGCTGATGAAGTACCTGCATGGGTATCAAAGAAGAGGAACAAGATTTCAGTTGATCGAACTGTAAAATGGCTTGATGAATGCATTGCACTAAGCCCGGTAAAGTCGTGTGCGTTTTTTTTCTGGGATAAATTAGTATAATTATCTGGAATCCATCTTTGAATGTGCCAAGCTGTCATGATGGATGGATGATTTGTTTGGTTAGTCATAGTGTATTGTAGTCTTGGACTGAAACTAGATTTTTGTAGGAGACGTGGTACAAGAAAAATTCAACACATGAAATATGATGGATTATTGAGGCGTCATTTAGTTCAGTTGTATTAGCTTTAATCTTGAAATCTTTAAACTTATGGAATGTGCTTTTAATGCTCAAGGGAATATGATAGTCGTGGACTGAAACTAGATTTTTGAAGGAGACATGGTACACGACCAATCTAACACATGAAATATGATGGATTATTGAGGCGTCATTTAGTTCAGTTGTATTAGCTTTAATCTTCAAAGCTTTAAACTTATTGAAATCACTTTTAATTCTCAAGTGGAATATGATGCTTTAAGATCAATATCCTTGTTATGATCAGCTCTTAGGATAGTTTCAGGTAGATACTGTTTAATCTTATACTGTGTTTTGCGCACTGACATGTAAAAGGATCTCATGACTTGAATGTCTGGTCAAAAGTTGTGGAGTTTCAAGAAGCTTATCAAGTCACTCATTTCTCTTGCTCACTCTTTTTGATTGATTTTTGTTGAATGCTTTTAAAAGAAACTATTTGCGAGGTAATAAAGTCATGTCCAAGGTCCATATGGAAAATTAGTGTACTTGAATGGCTTCCAAAATGCCCATAAGAAAATGGAAAGAAATTGAAGAAAATTAAACTTAATAACTGATTTTGATGACTTCTACATTTGCATTGAGACTACAAAATAGAGATGGGACAATAGAATTTTGATGCATGGCTTTGCTCAGATACTGATTTTGGATGTAACATTTGTTAGGTAAAGACCAAAGCCAATGATCAGGGAACTTTTAAGATTTTAATATCTACCATGCTTAAAAAAACCAATTAATAGTTTTGAGGGATAACCCTTGACTTGAAGTGACCCGTCACTAATGTCTCAAGCATATAATTAATTTTCATCGTAGCATTACTGGTGTAACTTATTCTCTCATTCTTAGAAATAGAAAGAAAAAGAATTCATGTCATGTATTAATTATTAAATCTAGGCAGATGGAGTTGCATTTGGAGCCATAGTTGGAGGGTCGGATGTAGAAGAACGGAGACGATGTGCACGAGAAATAGCAAAGCGCAATGTATCAGGTATTGTCTTTCTTTCTGTTTGATTTAAGCTACATATCATTCATGATATTCTGGATATTGATGCTCTTCTTACATCAAAATTCTAATATAGACGAGGAGCATGGCAATAAAACTGTGCAACTGACCTCTTTTGCCTTGCCTACCTTTTGTTTATTTATTTTTACTCCCTTAATTTCCATACAATGTCATTTTCTTCTAACCAAAGACCATGATTAAATAGCAGGACAACTTCTGTTAACACTTCAAAAAGGTGAGAGAATTGTCTCTCCAATTTGATCGTCATCTTGCCACTTTGAAATTTGAGTACCATCTTTTTTTTCAAGAGAGAAAAAAGAAGAAGAACATTTGATGTCATTGGATAATGGATGCCAAGCTATTAGGTCAGAAAACTATGCTCTGCATTGAGTGGGGCTCTGCAAATAGTCTGAAGTTTGAAGGTGTTGAAGTGCCACTGTATGAGCTGGGCTTTTGTTTATAGAATGACTGCAACTAGATGGCTTTCATCATTTTCATCTTTCCTGCCTTTTTCACTTGCTTTATTGTTTCTCTCTTATGCTCCCCATTTGTTAGGATTTATGCTTGTCTAGTTATATGTATTTATAAAAAGATGCTTATTTTGGCATATAGAATTGCGTTGTTTAAATCATCTTGTCAAATTGGTCAGAAGATGCGTTTTTGCAGGTTATTGGATTGGAGGATTTGGATTTGGAGAGAGCATGGATGAGCGCCCTGCTTTGCTAAGTGTTGTAACTGTGAGATCCTTAAACTCATAAGTTTTGGAAGATTCGCATTATCCCTTGATTGTAGATGCAATTGAGTGTGAGATAATCACAAATCATGAACTTAGATCAATGAATTGTACTTGCCAGGTGGCTTTGCAGGACATGGCCAATTCAAAGTTTTTAGATTTCTATGTTTGTTTCCCATTGTGATCTTTTATCTTCTCTGACTCTGGGAGTTAAACCGATTGCATTCTGTTAAATGGTTGTTTCACATAAAGTTTTCTTATGCTAAGGAAATATTACTTGGCAAATCTATCTAGGCTGTGGTGCTGTTGTATGAAAATATGACTGACAAATGTATAAATATTTGATTGTGAATTTCATTCGAATTATACAAGATGAGTTATTTACTGGGTTAACAAAAATGTCATGAGTTTTAATGCTGCTATGAAATGCTCAGGATAGTTTACCAAAGGAAGGGCCACGTCTAATCAGTGGGCTAGGGCTGCCAGGTAACTTGTGGACTGTAGAATAATTCTTTGATTTTTGTTGCTCAATTTGTTGGCTGGGACGTACTTTAATCTTCATTATAGAAAATTTCTCATGGATTGTTGTTGTACTTAGAATATTTGGTGGGTATAACTTGTTGGCCCCTTCCCCAATATGAAGTATTTGATTCTAGTGGGGTATGAAATTAAGAATCTGAGCTAGCTCTTCAAAACTTCCTTGGTTCAAGTTCTAGCATCCTCATTTCTATTGAAATTTGTTGTCAACATTTGCTTTGGGCACCACATGCCAGCATAGGATAGCACATAAGAAGGGAGGATGGTTGATGCAGGACATTTTAGGGGCTGTTCTGGTTCTGATCTTTGGAGGCTGTTTAGGGGTGTTTACAGTTGTATTGAAGTGTTTTTACTGGAATACGAGGAAATATGTGGTTAGATTTCTAGGAGTCACACCTAGGGGTCTTAAGAGTCACACCTAAGAGGGGGATTGAGTCACATAATCATAGCAAATTGCTGGAAATTGTTTGATATTATTGCACTATAAAATTTTGGAAGACAACACACTGTATTTATAAAGATGTGAAGTCCAAGTCCTACTTGGACAAGGATTCCTGCATAAAAATTCCTATTTACTATAGGAAAACCAATAACTATTCCTATTTTAGAATAGGAAAATCTAATAACTTTAGGACTAATAAAATACTTAAAACAAAAATATTGTAATTTGTAGATTTTCCTGCAGATTTGAAATTACTAAAATACCCTTATCAATTACTCAAGTTCCCAACCAAGTTTTCCATCATTAGCCAGGTGCCAAATCAGTGCTTGAGCATTGGAATTACTCTTAGAACGTCTTCAAAAGAACTATGGGGGTGTTGCGAACATGCCTCACCAGTGGTGGTGTTAAAAGAGTTTATAGGTCTCATACATCGGTGAACTCTTTCCTGATATCTTAAGCTTTTGGGACAAAATATATCCTAACAATACAAGTTCACTGTGTTAGCTTTCACTTTACTATCCTGATAATTTAATCCACAGAAAATTTTCATTCCTCGTAGTTTTTTGGGTAGTAATGGAATTGTTTTGGAGAGCACATATTTGATCATAGTCTGTATTATGTTTTGTGAACTAGTATTCTTGGTTCATGCGTTGCATATGTATTAATAAAAGTTGTATTGTTCAAGTTAATCCTAATAATCGCAAAGGTTTATATAAGAACCCAATTAAATGCACTCTAGGAATAAATTTTGAAAAAAATCAGATTCGATTCCTTTTTTAATATAATTGTTGAGGAAGAATCATAAAAGGATAAGTAAAAGCTGAACATCACGTTATATATCTTTCTTTTCGTTTATGTCCATTGGTCTAATATATACATTACGACTTGAAGGCAAGGACATTTAATAAAAAAGACATCTCCAATTTTTTTTATTGTAATTAACATGCATGATGAATCTTTGATAGGAAAAGGCCAAGTGATACACATTTCACAAAAAGTAGTAGCTTAAAAAAGGAAGACAACTAATGATGAAAAGTTTAGACGTTATAACGGGAAAAAAATTAATGGGAAGAGAGTTTATTTTGTTGTAGCATCTTTTTATTATTGATTCAATGTAACATGATGACCAAATTGGTCTTTAAGATATATAAAATGATGACGGTGTCTTTGTGAAATCAAATGTTTTGATAAAGTTCATACTTTTGTATATAGTTATGGATATGGATTATGTGGTGTGGATTGTGGAATAACAAGTGAATTTTGTTTTCCAATGCTTGTTAGAGGAAGTGTTGCAGGGTGTTGCTGCTGGCATTGATCTTTTTGACTCATCGTATGCACATCTGTTCTCAATTTAACTTTATGAGCTTCTTTCTCCTCATTGTGATCTGTCTCTAAAGTTGATTTTTCTTTTTTTTTTGGTGACCTTTGCAGGTATATTTACCATCTGACTATTGGAGGATTTGCACTTACCTTTCCACTGGATACCAAAACAAACACATCTGATTTTAAGTTGACTGGTATGGGAACTGACCATACAAAGATTAATCTGAAAGCAACTGTTTACAGGTAATGGACTTGTTCTTCGCTTACCTATAGCTGTTTCGATATTTCTACTGATCTCATCTGTTCAATTAAAGGTATTGAGATCCATAAAAATCTCATCCTTGTTGAGTATTTTATGGATTGGAAAGTATTAGATGCTATGCATTCCATTTTCTCAGTCAAATGTCTTCTCTACTGAAATATATAAGTCTTATGTTTCCCGGGTGGAGCATTATCGACATTTCAAATATAATATCTTTTATTGCTGTACTTTTGAAGGTAAAATGAACATTTATAGTAACAGTTTCCTTTTCTACAAAATAAATTTCAAATGACCAACAAGTTCCCAAATTCCTCGATGCATGACAGAACTGAACTTATATGGTAACAGTTTAGTCTTGAACTTGAATAGTGGAGCTAACACTTTCTGAAGCTTATTTCTCTGATACTGAAACAATGCAGAAAGTGTATCCAAATAACAATGCACTTTTCTAGGATGGCCCATATAGCCATGACTCTAAAGGTTTAAAATTTAGGAGTACATGCATAAAAAATTTATATTTTAGAAATTGTGTTTCCATTTTATCAGATGAGTACCGGGGACAACCACAAATATATATATATATATATATATTTTAATAAAAAACAAAAGCAAATAAGGACAAATGACAGCATTATTATTTTTTATTATTTATTTATCACTTTAGGGAAAGCATTTCCTATTTAATCAACTAGAGTGCATTCTTCCTGACCGATGTTTAAATGCTTTCCTTTCAGAAAAGACACGGCACCACTTGTTGAAAGCTGCAGCTGCTATACTTGTCAGAATCATACTAAAGCTTATATCAATCATTTACTCAATGTCCATGAAATGTTGGCCCAGATTCTACTAGAAATGTATGGTATCATTGCTTTCTTTTATTAGGACTATGATGATGATGATGATGTTGATGATTCATCCCTTTTATTGCAGACATAATACACACCACTATCTGGGATTCTTCCAGTCAATAAGAGAAGCAATCAAAGAAGGCAGATTCAACCAATTTCAGCAGATGTTTGTTGAGAAAAGGCGTAATCATCTTGCTGAAGTTGCTGTATGTGCATGACAAGCTCCTTTATACGGTTTTTTTTTTTCTTTTCAATTTTCGAACTCAAGCATTATTGATTTAAATGAATATAATACTGGTGAAATTGATGGGATGGTCTGAAACTCTGAATGCAAAGAAAAGAAATGTAATTTTTGTGCTGATCACTTTCAAAATTTGGGGGAATTTTTTTTTTCTTTTTCTTGTCTTTTTGTACAAATTACTTCATTTTAATTTGGATTGCGGAAATTTTCCATTTGAAATGAGTGGGTTGAAGGGGGTAGATGTCTAGTAAGGACTGAGACTTTCTTCAAATGTGTTGGGTGGTTTAGGTTTCTCTCTGATGAACCATTTTATAAATAGGTCTGGGTTGGCGACATGGAGATGTTAATAGAAGGTCATGGTTTCCTTAATACACCCACGGGCCGAGTGTGAGGTATTTTCATTGACCATTGGGGACTTTTAAGTTGATGTCTCTAGTGTAATCTGGTAGGAATTCAAATGGATTAAATCTGGTGAGACAAATCAACATGTGCTTTCTCAAGGCTCAGTCCAAAGGTTGAACATCCACTTATAAAAGAATCAAGAACATAAAAGCGAGGTGTTTGCAATCCTTAGCGCTGCAAATGAAAGCAGAGCTATCTCCTAGCTCAAGATTGGGACAGACTTAGTAGCATAACTAGCTCAATACACGCATTGCCGCAAGTAAGTTTATTATATCTATCTTTTAATATTTTAAATAATTTAAAAGTATAAATGTAAAATAAAAATTAATTAACACCCATTGTAAAAAAATTGTTATATATATAATTGAATTTAAATATTTCTTTGGAATATTTTTTATTTTGATAGATAAAAAATGCATGCAATTAATTATTTATTTTTAAAAAGTCAAATAGAAGGAGGTGTTTAATCCATTTATATTAGAAGAATATTTAATTTTAGCTCATGAATATTTATAAAAATAGAAAAAGTAACCATTGATTATGGAAAAAAAACACTTATTTTGATTATATAATAATTAATGAAAAAAATCCAGTCAGAAAAAAAAAATTATAGGGACCTTTTAGTAATATTAATTAACATTAGGAACTGTTTTATATAAAGCTATAACTTAGAGAATCAAAGTGTAAAATATTATAAAATCAACAAAAAATAATTTTTTTTTGTTGAGAAAATGATGTCGTTTTGGGTCTAAAAGACCTAAAATTACGTTGTTTTGGTTTTACTATAGTAGGGGCTTAGCTATAGTGAAATCACATTTTGTTTTAGTATATATTACTAGCCGGTTATGCAGCGTTACGCTGCGGTTTGGTTGAACAAAATCATTTTAAAATTTTTTAATTATAATTTCATATTTAATTAGTGTTTTCTAATTTTTTTAATAAAATTTTTGCTAAAAAAACATCATTCTTCTTTATGGATTGATTTTAACTAAAATATTAATTAAGAATTAAAAAACTTTAACAATATATTTTCCATAATATTGTATTAAAAAATAAAGTTATAATAAATAAATAGACTTTTATAAAAACTAACAAATGAAATTTTTTTTATTTAATGTTGATGAGAAGATTAATTTTTGAAATTATCCACGCAATGCGACGGATAGATAGAACAAAATCATTTTAACATTTTATAATTTTTATAATTAATTTTTTATTAAATTATTACTTTTTTTCCATATAATTTCTGCTTCAAAAATGATTTATTTTTATTTATTTAGGGATTTCCAAAAAAAAACTTGTAATATATAATTTAAACTTAAAATATTAATTAAGTATATAAAAATATATTGTTTTATAAGAATATATCCAAAAAATAAAGTTACAATTAATGTATAGACTTGCATAAAAATTAACCAATAAAAAAAATTTATTCTTATTTAATGTTGATGAGAATATTATTTTTTTAAAGTACATATATTTGATCTATACACATTATATAATCGTCGGTTTGTGTGAAAAAAAAAGTAACAATTGATTTTTTTTTTTAAATTTAACACTCAATAAAATAAAATAAAAGCATAAATTGATGAGAAAAATTGAAGAAAAAACCAAAGAAAAAGAAGAAGAAGAAGAAGAAAAAGAAGAAGAAGAAAAGGCATGTAGTGTATCAACTAGGGATTCAAATTTTTATTTTAAAATTTCAAGGATCAAAATGAATTAATTTAAAAATTATATATATATATATATATATATAACTAAGAGTGAAAAAAAAAACCTAAGAGTGAAGAATGCATTGCGAAGGTAAAAAAAAAAAAAAAGGAGTGAATAATACATTATGAGGGGGAGAACAATATTGCCATAAAAACAAAAACTTTAAAAATATATTGTTTTATAAGAATATATAAAAATAAATAAATTTATAATCAATGTATAGACTTGCATAAAAATTAACCAATAAAAAAATAAAATTTTATTCTTCTTTAATGTTGATGAGTAGACTTTTTTTAAAAAAGTATATACATATGATCTATATATATTATATAATCGTTATTTTATGTGAAAAAATAACAATTGATTTTTAAAAATTTTAACATCCTATTAAATAAAAAAACATAAATTGATGGAAAAAAAGTAAAAAAAAGGGATGTAGTGCATCATATAAGGATAACATTTTTGTTTTAAAATTTTAGAGATCAAAAAGAAATAATTTGAAAATCATAGAAAAAAAGTAAAGCAAAAAAAAACTAAGAGTGAAAATTAAAAAACAAAAACTCAAAACAAAATAATTTGAAAATTAAAAAAGAGAAAGAAAGAGAGAATAATACATTGTGAGGGTAAAAACAAAAAAAAAAAAAAACGAAACAAAAAAAAAGTAGTGAATAGTACATTGTGGGGGGGTATTTTTAAAGTATATATATATATATATATATGGGGGTATTTTTAAAGTATATATATATATATATATTAATCATCAACTTGTGTGAAAAAAATAATTATTGATTTTTTAAAATTTTAACACTCAATGGAATAAAAAAAGAACATAAATTGATGAAAAAAAGCAAAAAAAAAAAAAAAAAAAAAAACCCAAAGAAAAAAAAAGAAAAACATATAGTGCATCGGTTATAGATTAAAATTTTAGGGATCAAAATGAAATAATTTTAAAAAAAAACCCAAGGAAAAAAATAAGAGTGAAAATTACCAAAAAAAAAAATATATATATAAATAAAATAATGTGAAAATAAAAAAAACTAAGACAAAAAAACTAAGAGTGAAAAATTTAAAAAAAGGAAAAAAAAACTAAGATTGAGTAGTATAGTGTGAAAAAATGACAACAATCGATTTTTAAATATTTTAATACTCAATTAAATAAAAAAAAGAACATAAATTGATAAAAAAAGAAAAAAAGAAAAGACGTATATTACATCGGCTAGGGATTAAAATTTTTATTTTAAAATTTTAGGGATCAAAATGAAATAATTTAAAAATTAAAAAAACCAATGGGAAAAACTAAGAGTGAAAATTACAAAAAAAAAAAAAATGAAATAATGTAAAAAAAAAATGAAGAAAAAAAAAAAAAACTAAGAGTGAAAATTTAAGAAAAGGAAAAAAAAAAGATTGAGTAGTATAGTGTGAAAAAACAACAACGATCGATTTTTTAAAACTTTAATACTCAATTAAATAAAAAAAAAGACCATAAATTTATGAAAAAAAAAGAAACAAAAGAAAGAAGGAAAAAATATATAGTGCATCAGCTAGGGATTAAAATGTTTTTAAAATTTTAAGGATCAAAATGAAATAATTTAAAAATTAAAAAAACCTAAAGAAAAAACTAAGAGTGAAAATTACACAAAAAAAAGGAAAATAAAATAAAATTGAGTAGCATAGTGTGAGGGTAGGGTAGGCTAAAACAAAAAACTACTGTTCAAATGAACAGTGCAACTGTGTGAGGAGTTTACTGTAATGAACAGTGAACTCCCATGCGTTTTAGTTTCATAACTAGTTTTTTATGCAAAAAATATATTAAATCGTTTATAAAAATTATTTCAGTTTGATAGTTTATTTTATGGTGTGAATCTATAAACATTTATGAAATTAAAGGTGAACATTTTTTTAATAATTTTTTAATAAAAACTTTTGTATTTAACTATTTCTTATTTGTATTTTTCATAATTTTTCTTGTAGGAAAATGATCCTTGTTAATCCATGGATTATTAACTAAAAAGGAAATTAAATAATGTTTTTTTAAAAGCTTTAGTATTCATAAGATTGTGTCAAAAACATAAATAACAATTATTAAAAGCTTGCATAGGATTAAATAAATAATTTTTTTATTTAATTTTGATGAGAATATCGATTATTAAAAAAAATGAGAATTTAATTTTTACATATTTATTTACAAAAGAATGAATAATATTAAAATAAAAAACTATATTAATCTGAATCATTAAGTGGTTAAGCTATAAAATTATTTTAATTATTTAATTTAAAATAAGTAATTTAAAAAATTAAAAAAACAAATAAATAATAAACGCTTAGTGTAGTAGTAGTTGCACAATTAATTTTTGAAAAAAAAAAGATTCAATATTTTTTTATAAATTATAACTATACTAAATGAGTTCATAGTTTTCGATCTAAAAAAAAAATACTATAAAAAAAAATAACTTTCAAGGAATTTATTCACTAAATTGGAAGTTAATAGACTAACATAAAAATTATTACAAATTTGATTTCAATTTATTTTGATTATATAAAGAAGAAAAAAATTAATAAAACGTGTGAATTCTTTTTTTTTTTTTCCCTCCTTCTTCAATATATATATTTTTTATTTCTATGCTATGCATGGCTAGTCTTTGCATATAGGCCTCACGTAGAGAGCAACCATCTTTTTTTATTTTTCACATTTGACTTTCAACTATTAATTAATTAATTTGAGTTTTTTCTAAAAAATAAAAAAAATATTTGAAATGCACTTTTAATCTAAAAATATATTTTAGACAAATTATATATATATATATATATATATATATATATATATATATATATATATATATATATATATATATATATATATATATATTATGCCACTACAATTGATAAGTTATCTAAATCTATTTTTCAAAAGAAAAAATAATCATGTTCTAATAATTTATTCCAAAATCCATACATATAGAAAAATAAATCAAAAGCTGTCGGAAAGTATAATTTTAAATTAATTATATGAGAATTTTAGAAAAATGACAAATTAAAGTAGTAAATTTTAAATAATGAAAATAATTAAAAAAATACTAAAACAAAATGGGACCAAATCACAATATAATCAAAGTTTGAAATTAAAAAAAAGAAGAAGAGAATTTACAAAAATAACAAATTAATGTAGTAAATTTTAAATAATAAGTAAACAAAGAAAAATTTGTTTGGAAAACACTTTTAATTTGAAAATGTATTTCAAAAAAATTATATATATATATTAATCATGCCACTATAATTTAAAAATTATCCAATCTATTTTTCAAAAAAAATAATAATCATGTTCTAAAAATTTATTCCAAAATCCATACGTATAGAAAAATAAATAAAAAAATCAGTAAATATAATTTTAAATGAATTGAATGAGAATTTTTTTAAAATGATAAGTTAAATCAGTAAATTCTAAACAATAAAAATAATTAATAAAGAAAACCAAAACAAAATGGGACGAAATCATAATATAATCAAAGTTTAAAATTGAAAAGAAAAAAAGAATTTAAAAAAAATGATAAATTAATGTAGTAAATTTTAAATAATATAAAAAACCAAGAAAAAATTATTTGAAATAAAATTTTAATCTAAAAATGTATTTTAGATTAATTATATATATTAATTATGGCAATATAATTTTAAAATTATCTAAATCTATTTTTTTCTTAAAATAATAATGTTCTAAAAATTTATTCTAAAATCCATACATACGGAAAAATAAATTAAAACTTTCAGCAAATATAATTTTAAATTAATTGGATGAGAATTTAAAAAAAAAGATAAATTAAAGTAATAAATTTTAAATAATAAACATAATTAGGAGAAAATACTAAAAAAATGGGATCAAATCACTTAAAAACGCAACAAGAGAGAAAAAAGTTGATTTTATTATAGGGATAAAAATTAAATATAATAAAATTATAATGAATAAAATTAGAAAAGGTTACAAAATGGGGACTAAAATGTAAAATTATTAAAAGCCAAAAGAGGGGTTAAAGTAGCAAGAGAAAAAGCCTGGCTACATCAACCAAACCAAAAATAAAAAAAAATTAACTAAAATTTTAATAACCAAAATAAAAAAATTATAAAATAAGGACTAAAATAAAAATGAAATTAAATAAAAACCAAAATAGAGACTTAAAAATGCAGCAAGAGGGAAAAAATTGATTTATTGTAGAAAAAAAATCAAATATAATAAATTTTTAATGATTAAAATTAGAAAAGGTTGCATAATAGGTACTAAAATGTAAAATTATTTAAAACTAAAAAGGGCTTAAAGCGGCATGGGAGACAAAAAGAAAAAAAAAAAGGGCCGAGCACAAGGGAAGCTTAACAAAAAAAAAAAAAAACCACTTGTGAACAATGAATGAACGAGTCTAGGAATAGTAATTCATTATTGAAAAGGCCATGCCTAGGTGTTAAAGGATCATCTCACCTAAAAGTTTAAGTTATTAGGTAAGACCCAATAATATAATTTATACCTTCTCAAGTGAAAGCCTCAATATGTCGGCTTAAAACTTACACGAGTCTACGTTGTTTTGTGATTAAGACTTGAGAAATTGAAGGTGGTGAGACTTGAATTCGGGATCTCTTGATCAACTAAGCTCGATACCATCTTAAAAGACCATCTCACCTAAAAGCTTAAGTCTGTTAGGTAAAGTCTAATAATATAATTTATATTACTCTCTAACAGTAGGCAAAAAATAACAAGAGTCTCATAGAGAGGTTCACTAGCTTTCATATATATATATATACATACATTTACAGGTGAGGATGGATGTGAGTCACGGGAACTACCTTATTGAGATTATGATCGAAAGTTTATCAAATGTAAACAGGAATTACTAAGAGAATGTTTGGAGCTAGATGACTTCCTTTTTCAGTCTGATAAGAGTTGATGGCTCTAGTTTCCTCCAGGCTTAAACATGGGATGGCTGTACAATAACTGCAATGCTTTTGGTTAATAAATGCGTTCATTAATCCTGCTATTCATGACAATTGTTTCGCTATCTGGAAAATAGATAGTTTGTATTTCCCATAAGAAGAAGAAACAACTTGTGATTATTCTGAGATCATCAAAGTCATTTTATTAACAGCAAGACTGCTGCTAACGAAATACAAGTTATCAAATTGCTACTGACTTGCTCGCTTCTACAACCATCTAAAATGCTGAAAAGAAGTATAAATAGCAGAATAGCATGTAGCTTTAGAAATTAGAAGTAGCAGATTCCAGTAGCAGCTAGCATAGTAAATTTGTAATCAAGCAGCAGAGCACCTGCATTAGATTAAAGACAGAGTACTAAAAGTTGATTAACGCATCACAAACAATAACAACTAACACAAAAGAGTTTGGTGTTGAGTCAAATAATTATTTTAGAATCGAGATGACATCTTACCAGGAAATGCAGAGTACTGCACATGTTATGTTAGGAAACATTTGCAACAAAATTTGACCAAACGATCATATATGCCGAAAGAAATCTGGTTGGTTCCTTCATAATGCAGTTTCTCAGCTAAGTTACCATTTCCATTTGTAGCAAAATCTGACCAAACGATCATATCTGCCTCTTCGTTGTGCTTAATTGGCTTTGTCATTGTTGCATTCCCTGCTAAATCATCAATACCTAGTTGCGAGTAAGGTTTTGCATCTGAATTACCATTCTCAATCTGTATTGCTTTATCTTTTCCAATGTTGTGCTTGGTCTTGATACCATCTTTAACTTGGTAAGCGGGGGGCTTGACATCCCTCGCTGCCCCATCAGTGTTATATACTCGTTTGGAGCCTGGTTTCTCGTCAGAGCTATAACTTCCAAATTGTTTTGCTCTACCACTGCTCTCACGAATAATTGACGTAGTTGCAGTGTGGGTGCTGTCCTCAATTTGTTTAAAGTGTGGTTTCTCATTGATGTTTCCTTTTTCCATCTCTGTTGCCTCTTCGTTGCCTTTAAGTACTGATTCATCTCCTCCAGATTGGTCAACATCATCTCCTATTTCCTAATAATTTATAAGAAGACATTAATTCCAAGGAATAAGGTATTGGCTTAGTATAAACGATTTATCAAAAGGTAATATGCATTATTCAAATTACTTGCCTTCAACACGATCCCTCTTCGACTTGGAGGGTTTTCCGGAAAATCATCCTCGATGACCTTGAAACTATGAGTCAGAAACTTGAATGCAAGTTCAGTTGGCAAGCCATCATTGAATAGTGATCCCAAGATTCTTGTGGCATGGACGTTCATCTCCTTGAGTGAAAATGAAGTAGCTAAGAACAGCACACATCTAAACATATTTTCCTCTCCCTACCCATCTGTCCGTCAAAACTTATATTGATTACATTAATCTGCTGAGCACTTTTGTCTGGATCTGTAGCTGAAGCAATGATTATACTTCCTGGACCAAACAAATCAGCTTTTCTAGCCAAATCTACTAAATGCTCTTGTTTATTCACTTCATCAACGATTAAAAGTACTTTCTTATGTTGCAGCTTTCTCTTTATTTCATTGATTTCACTTGAAGGATCCAATATCCTTGTGCTCCATTCCACTGAAACTTCTTGTACAGGACCCAGACCACATTTCTCAGAAACAACTGCATCGTAAACAGCTCTAGCAAATGTTGCGTTGCCCATTCCAGCCATCCCACATATCCATACAATCTGAATATCATCCCATTCTTGGTACATGAAGAAGGAATTAAAATTCAATGGAACCAGCTGCTTACTGGTACCTGGGCATGTAGGGTTCAACTTATCGCGTATCTGGTTAACAACCACCATTGCCCATTCTGCTTCAGAATCTGCCAAACAGAGAGAAAGGATTGGTTTAATTAAAATAGTTTTGGTCCTTAAACTTTCGAAATTTGATAAAACAGACTTTTTTTTTTTAAATTAAATCCACTTTTCTCTAATCCATTTTCCTATCTAATAAAATCAAACTAAGTTTTTAAAGTCATTTTATATATTGTTATTCGTATTAAATTAATTTTTTTAAATTTAATTTGTCACATTGTAAATCTTAGAATTTCGTTTAAAAATTTTGAATTAAGATAATTTTTTACTATGATATTATAACTTTAATCTTCAAATAGTAACACATTTAAATTTTATTATTTTTAATTTTAAAAAGTTTTAGGTCTATTTAAATTTTAAATTTAAAAAGTTATTATTGTGAGAAATGTATAAGAGAGTTGATATAAAACTGTTTTTGAAATTTCATGTAGGAACTAAATTTTTGAATTGAAATTATTTTTTTACCCTTACAAAATAAATAAATAAATAAATAAATACATGTCCTTAAGAATCCTTCCACTATTTTAGAAGTAGTTGATCTTTTCTAACTCTTCACCCACATTAAAGACTTCGAATCTCCCAACATGCTTAAGAACCGAGAGACATCTGGTGGTAGCTTGTTCATAGAAAGATGATAGACCGGTCCAAAAACAAAAATAAAACTACTGCTATATCAATAAATTATAAATTAGTCTTTTTTAGTTTTGAAAATAATTAATTAGACTTTTTTTTAAAATAATTATTTATTCTTTATATTTTTAATTTTTTTGAGAACTTAATTCTTTTAGCTTTTTTCAATTTGTTTTGATTCTTCATTTTTAAAAATAAAAAATAAAATAAGAAAAATATATGAAAGAATTGATGAGCAAAGATAATATTCTTTTAAATAATGTAATATTAAATTAAATATAATTAACATTAGTTAAATGATTAAATAATTAACTTTTAAAATAAAGAGAATTAATTAATTCATTTCTAAAAAATAGAGACTCCAATTTACAGAGTTTATTTTTTTTGTCTTCTTGTGCTTAAAAAGTCTATTGACCGTATTGTATTTGCATGGTCATGACTAAAGAAACGCATCCATCTTAAACAAACAGCTCTTTTAGTTGTTTCTCCTTTTTTTTTTTTTTTTTTTTTTTTTCTGAAGCAAGTATTTTAGGAAAAATTATGTATATTATTTCTCTCTCTCATATAAATTTAGGATCTTTTCATAAAAAATATTAATTGATCCTATCTTCATGTGAGGAAAAAAAAAAAAACTGTGATGGTGTGTTAATTCCATGCTTTTAGTACACATTTCTCATTCAAAAACTAAAACTAGTTCAAAAGCACACAACGTGGCCAGCAAAAACCCAAATTAAACCAAAGAATTAAGATATGCAGCATCAACGAAAGACAATTACATCCCCAGGGCACATCGATGGATTGCCTTTAGGGTTGGGGAGGTCAAACTTGTATATCAATTTGAAGGGGAAAAAAGGAGAAGAAAGAGCAGTATTGATTACTTACAGTGTCTTGCAGACCACCCGGCTATACCAGCTACTTTTCTAAGAGCGTCCCTCCAGCTCTGGACCATCTTCTTGCTGTAATTTTTCTCATGATCATCGAATGCCTGCTTATAGTCACCAGTTTGATTCCCTACGTCAGTTGCTTCAACATGATAGAAAATGGGGAAAACAGTATGTCCCTTTTTTTTATGCATCGAACCATCTTTACAAGTTCTTCCAAGCAAAACTTGGACGAAGCATAATTTTTTGAAAATATGACGATTGAAAACCTTGACTCTTTGATAGCTTTTAAAAGTTCTTTGTCAATGTACTTTCCTTTTTCAAGATTTTCATCATGTTTATATGCCTTAATATCGTTCGTAACTAGAGAAAAATATAGACATTCGCAGAGCTTAAGACGAGCGTCTTTATCACTAAAGCTAAGAAAAACATCATGACTCCATGTAGCTCGTTTAAAAGGGATATAAGAAAAAAAGGGAAGAAATGAATGCACTTCCATCATCTCACTCAAAACCATATATTACAGAATGAATCCTAGCTAGCTAGTACCTAAATTTTTGGTGCCTAGCTAGCTAGTACCTGAACTTTTGGTGCCGGACACTACAAGAAAAACATTTATTAGCGACGGTCAAAAAGCTGTTACTAATTACGGTTTTACTAATTTTAGCAACGGTCTAAAAACGAGTTACAAATGTTTCAATGTACGATCGTTTTTTAGCAACGGTCTACAAATCCGTTGCTACTTTGAAAGGTTAACCGTTTTAGCGACAGTTTTCATGAAAAATAAACCGTTGCAAATTTAGCAACGATCCAACCCGTCGGTAAGCTGTTGCTAAGGAGATAATTGGGTTTAGCGACGGTCATAACCCGTTGCTAAACCGTTGCTAACGATAGTTTAATATTTTAGCAACGGTTTTCTATAAAACAACCTTTGCAAAAAAAATTAAACGAGTTAGCGATGGTCCTGGATCATCGCTACTCCGTTAGCAATTGGGCTCGGTCTGAAACGAAGGAAAATACCCCAAATTAGCAACGGTTTTATATCCTAAAACGAGTTGCAAAAATATTCGACGGCCTAGACCATCGCTAAACCGTTTCTAACATAATTAAATTTATGTTTTGCAACGGTTTTCCAAAAATAACCGTTGCAAACGGACGACGGTCACGGATGGTTTAGACCATCGCTAAAAAATTTACCTTTTAAAGTTCCGGTCGAATGAAAATCTGGAATTCTCTCCCTCTCGCAAAAATCCTCTCTTCTTCTCCTCCGACAACGACTTTATCCGTTGTTTTTTTGCTCCAAACTTCTCCTCTCTTTCCTCAAAGCTTTTATATCCTAAAAATCTCCCTCTTTCTTCCCTCTTTTCCTCCTCCTTTCAATCTTTCTCTCTACCGTTCAACTCTGTCGTTTTTCGACAACCAAACTTCGGCGAGGTCTCACCGGCGATAGCCGCCCCCTCTCATCCTTCTCTTGGTGACAGGTCCACCTAAATCTAATCCCTCTTTTCAATTTTTAATTTTTTCAGTTATTTATTTAAGTAAAATATTTTTTTTTAATTTTTTGTTTAATTAATTATTATTGCTAGTTTAATTATTGAATTGATTGTTTATTGCATGTGTTTTTTTTACTTGATTATTTAATTAAAATTTCTTTGATGTGTTATTTTAGTGTAAATTGTGATAGTTAATTGAAATGTTTAATTGTTAATTTAATATTAATTGTTAATTGTTATGTTAATGTTGTTGTTAATTCTTGATTAATTGAATATTATTGTTAATTTTTAATTTTACTATTATTTTTATTTTTAGTTGTTGATTGAATTAATTTGATTGTTAATTGTGAATTTACTTAGTTTAATTTATTGTTAATTGTTTTAGTTAGAAAATATAATTGTTATATTTTATTTTATGTTGTTATTTTAATTGTTATTGTTATTTTTATTAGTGTAGCTGCTAATTGTTAATTTACTTAAGTGATTAAAAATTTATCGAAAACATTATTAAGTTTATTTATTACTAGTTCATTAAGTTAAAGCATTAGGTAAGTACAAAATTAATTAATAAATTATATTGTTATTTTGTGATTAAATATTAAGCTTATATAGTTAGTTGTTCATTTAGTTAAATAGATAAGTAATTACAATATTAATTAAGAAAAAAATATAGCATTCTTTTGAAATTATTTTCAATAGATAAAAAATTAAGTTATGAAAAATATGTTAAATGCATATTAATTAATTTTAAAAATAAGTCGTATTAAAAAAATTAATATATACTTGTTGAATATAGTTTTATTACATTATTAAAAAAAATTTAGTTTTTCCGAAAGTATATTAAATAGATAAAAAATAGAAATATTTATAATTGTTAGTAATTAAATAAATAATTAAGTTGTATTTAAAAATTTGATATAAACTTAGCTTGTTTATTTAAAAAATAACTTGTGTGTAACAAAAAAATATTTGAGATTTAGTAATAAAAGTGTTTTAAGTAATTACAAAAAAAATTGATACAATTACTTAATTACTATTTTGTTTAAAATGAATTCGGATCGCTCTTGGATTGACTTTAGATTAACTGGTAAATTATTAAATGAGCATTTTGTAGAAGGGGTTAATAAATTTATTAATTTTGTGGTTAGGCATCCACGAGTGCATGGATGGAAATAAGATACGATGTCCATGTAAATAAAAAAAAATGTCAAAATCGTAGTTATGAAAATCTTGATACCGTTAAGTATCATTTGCTTGAGATATGGGTTTGTGTATGGGTATTATGTATGGAGACGTCATGGAGAGAATGATTTAGCAATCAATAACAATTTGTTTAATAATGTTGAACAAGAATAAATATGTGATGATCGTCAAGTTAATCGATACCACACAATAGTGATGAATGCAGTGGTCCATCTTTTAATTCGTCTAATACGGATTAAGACCCAAACCCTTACGCACAAGCATTTTATGATTTATTAGATACATCGAATAGAGAAATATGACCTAGGTCGGAAAACCATTCGCCGTTATTTGTAATGTCTCGTTTGTTGCATCTCAAGTCTAAGCATCATTTTTCGGATAGGTGTTATGATGATTTATGTCAACTTATGAAAGAGTTGATGCCTCTCGATAACTACATGCCAGAAGACTTTTATAGCATAAAAAAAATGGTAGAAATGATTGGTTTACCCATTGAAAAGATCCACTGTTGCATTAATGGTTGCATGACTTATAGGGGTCGGGATAACGAGAGAATCACTTGTAAAATATGTGATCATCCTCGATATTGAAATCCTAAGCATGGATTGATTAGAAAAACATTTTTCCCCTACAATAAAATGTATTATTTTTCGATAACCCGACGTTACAAAGGATTTATGCATCAAATGCCACCACTAATGACATGACATGGCATGCACAACATGTGTGTGAGCCCAAAGGTCATGCGTCATTATTCGGACTCCTTCGCATGGTGACATTTTTACCAAAGACATCCTTCTTTTGCATCGAAATTAGAAATATTAGATTAGGTGTTTGCACCGATGGGTTTCAACCATTTAGTAAGTCCGGACAACAATATTCTTCGTGACTCGTCATTGTAACGCCTTACAATTTGTCACCATAGATATGTATGAAAAAATAATATATTTTCTTAATCGTTATTGTCCACGATCCTAAAAACCCTAAAATCAATTTAGATGTATACTTTAACCCTTAATTAAAGAGTTGATAGATTTATATGAAGTAGGTGCCTTTGCTTATGATGTCTATCGTAAAAATAATTTTTAGATGAGAGTCTGTTGTCATATGGACAATTAGTGACTTTCTTGCATATTCAATGTTATCGGATTGGAGTACTGCGGGTAAGACAACATGCCCGTATTGTATGGAAAATTCGATGCTTTCACCCTCCGAAACGACAGGAAAACTTCATGGTTTGATTGCCATCAAAAGTTTCTCCCACTAAGGCATCCGTTTAAGCGAAATAGGACTACGTTCAAGCGAAATTCGGTTGTTACGGACATTGCTCCCCGATCAAGTCCGGAATTGAAATTTTGTAAGAATTAAATAATTGGGGGTTGTTGAAAGTAACGAAAGAGGGATCCGATGAGTATAATAATAATATATCTAAATATTGTGGTTGAAAAAAAAGTAGTATATTTTAGGACCTACCTTATTGAAGTTCTAATCTAATACGTTATAATTTGGATGTCATGCACATTGAGAAAAATATCTTTGACAATGTGTTTAATACAAGTATGAATGTCCCAAGAAAAACAAAAGACAATGTAAATTCTATTGAAGACTTCAAGCTATATTATCGATAGCCCGAATTAGAAATAGATGAAAACTTTAGAAAATACCCAAAACCACTGTTATACTCCGGACAAATAATAAAAAATACAATTACTAGAATGGATTAAACAACTAAAGTTTCCGGACGGATACGTCTCTAACTTGACAAGGTGTGTGAATATGAATAACCTCGGATTACATGGCATGAAAAGTCATGATTGCCATGTATTTATGCAAAGGTTAATACCTATTGCATTTTGTGACATGTTATCAACAAATTTATGGCAATCATTGACTAAGCTTAGCTTATTCTTTAAAGAATTAACATCTACTATGATTAAGATTGAAGATATGATCCGTCTTGAGGAAAATATATCAATAATCTTATGCAAATTAGAGTGTATTTTCTCACCTAGTTTTTCAATTCAATGGAGCATCTTCTCGCACACTTGGCATATGAAGCAAAAATAGCCGAACCTATATAATATTGATGGATGTATCCATTTGAAAGGTACAAATTTATGATTTTAATGGACATCCATAATTTTATAACTCTGTCAAATATTGATTAAGTCTAATGAACTCACAATATTATTATAGGTGGCTTCGCAAATTAAAAAATAATGTTAAGAACAAAGTTAGAGTTGAAGGGTCAATATGCAATGTATATTTAGTTGAGGAAACTTCAATGTTCTATTCATATTACTTTGAGCCTTATGTACACACTAGGCATCGGAAAGTGCCTAGAAACTTAGAGTGTGATCGAGAATCGAATG